CTTGAACAAGAATTAGTCTATGAACCAAATCATTGTCAATTGCACCACAATGAATATATACATATTTTTCATCCAAGATAAAATCATAACCTTATAACCTTATCTTCCCCCTCAAACTCTGCATCCTCAAAAAATCGAATATTTCCCGTTTCAAAAATTAACCTAATAGTGGGGCTTTTAAAAAAATATGTAATCCCTTAACAATTGTTTTACTTGTATTTATGTTGAGAATTTAAGCTGCAGTTTTAGTACTTATACCTAGAAAGATCTTTATGTATTGTGGGCAGATTTCACATTCCCCTAGGATTATTACAAAAGGCCTTGGACATTGTTCTCCTAATGCGTCATATCTGTCATAGTATTCACCACTATTGTAAGATCTAACTTGTTAAATTATTTTACTGAGTCGATTTTCGAACTCAGTCTTGTATGCCTTGAACAAGTCCAATATTGAGAAAAATTCGTCATTGAACATAATAAATGACTGTTGACTATTCCAAGAAGCCGAAATGAATGATCCACAGATATTTGTATAAATTAGTTTTAAGACGTCTAAAGTCCTATTGACACCTAATCTCCTTATGTTTGTTCATTTTCCCTTAATACAATTTACATAAACACTTAAGTCTAAAAAATCAAGGGAATCAAGAATTCTGTAAAACACAAGTTTTTTCCATTCTCCTTTTGAGAGATATGACCTAATCGTTTGTGTCATAACAAAGCAGAATTCTCATTGGTTAATTTATATTCAATACCATGTGAATCCACATACAATGTTTCTTTATAAGAGGTAACAATATTAAGCGAATATAGGTTATCGTAACCGGATAAAGAACTGGTACCCACAATATTTGATTTAAGAAAAAGATCAAACTGACTATTTCTAATTGAACAATAATAACCAAATTTGTCCAATGTAGAAATAGAAACCAAATTCCATCCAAAATGAAGGTACCGCAAATGTCTCTTTCAAATTCAAATAATAATCAGTCTTTAATGATAACTTAAATTCCCTATAGCCTCAACCTTAACTGATTTTTCGTCGCCCCAGATAGATGAATCTTCCAGCATTAATTGGTTTTGGCATCTCAGAAAACCCCATATAGACACACTTATGTGAGTAGTGGTACCGAAATTTATCCACAAAGTGTGTCTAGATATTGACACTAAATTTACTTCAAAACAAACCAAAGTGAAAAATGTACTTTTCTTTACACGCCAGCGTGGTATTTAGTACAGTCTCTCTTTATATATCCCAAATTTTTACAAAAGTTACAGCTAAATTTATTTCGCTGTTTATTTTGACCCGAACCGGATGCAGTTTTCTTATTCTTTCTATTCTTGAACTTGTCCTTATAGGTACTAGCCAAGTGAACACTTTCAGTTCTTTCTTGCTTCAACATTTCTTCTTCTTGCACACATTATGAAATGGGCTCATTTAGAATCCACTTCTCCCTTTAACAGTTATAACTGACCCTGAATTGTGCAGGAAGAGAAATTAAAACCAGATGCATGAGCAAATCATCAGATATCTCAAACTTTAGTGTCTTTAATTTTGAAACAATATGAGACATCTTCATGATGTACTCCCAAATATATCATTTACCTTTATACCTTAGTGAAACTAAATATGCCAAAAGCGTACTAGTTTCAGCCTTATCGCTCTTTGCAAAGCATTTTTTTTTTCAATTTCGGCAAGAAATTTCTTGGCAGTAGTTATCTTATCGGACATAGCGCCCCTAAATGATTCTGGAATACCACACTTCATGATCATAAGACTCATGCGGTTTGAACAATCCCACTTATCAAAGTCCCCTTTTTTTATCAGCAAAACTTTTATCCGTAAGTGCAGCGAGTTGTTCAGTC